GCCTCCTTGCAGGGCCCCTACACAGTCATTGAGAGAGCTGGACCGGTAAATTATAGGCTACGCCAACCTGGAAGAAGAAGAGGTGAACAGATCTATCATGTTAACCTGTTGAAGTGGTGAATTCCGGAGCGGCCGGCGGTAGCCTTGGGGGCAGACAAGGATGATTCGGTGGTAGATTTGAATCCACAGCTTGTCCCACACCAAAAGTAAGAATTAGAAGCCCTGGTCCCAAGCTTCCGTGATGTATTCTCCAACTGTTCGGGGCGCACCTCCGTCCTGTCACACGACATCCGAACCCGCCCCCCGGTGTCACGATCCTGCAGCAACCCTATCAAATCCCAGAATCTCGTCGGCAAGCCACTGAAGAGGTGGTGAATAAAATGCTTCAACTATGAGTCATTGAGCCTTTCTACAGCACATGGTCCAGCCCGATTGTGCTAGTCCCCAAGCCTGATGGCACCGTCCGCTTCTGCAATGACTTCCGTAAGCTAAATCAAGGGTTGACGTTTGACAGCTACCCCATGCCTCGAGTGGACGAGCTCATTGAACGTCTTGGTAGGGCCCGGTATATATCTACACTGGACTTAACAAAAGGTTACTGGCAAGTACCCCTCTCCACTTCGGCAAAAGAGAAAACCGCCTTCAGTACTCTGTCAGGGCACTGGCATTACCGGGTCTTACTGTTCGGCTTGCACGGGGCACCAGCCACTTTCCAAAGGCTGATTGATTGAGTGCTCCGACCACATCAGGCCTATGCAGCCGCCTACCTGGATAAGAGATGGGAGGATCATTTACTTCACCCGAGGGAGGTGCTGACTGCGCTATGTCGGGCTGGACTAACGGCTAACCCTCAGAAATGCCATCTGGGACTTTCAGAGGCACGGTACCTGGGTTATCGAATTGGAAATGGGACTGATTGAACCACAAGAGGGAAAAGTAAAGGCCATCAGGGAGTATCCCCAGCCCGCTACAAAGAAACAGGTACGGGCCTTCCTAGGACTAGCCGGATATTATCGATGTTTTATTCCAGGTTTCTCGTCTCTGGCTAGGAGCTGTACTGTCTCAAATGGTCCAGAGAGAAGAACATCCTGTAACCTTCATCAGCCGGAAACATAAACCTGCTGAGACATGGTATGCAGCCGTTGAGAAGGAGGCCCTGGCCATAAAATGGGCTGTCGAGAAGCTCAGCTAGTATCTTCTAGGTCGTTCCTTCACCCTGGTGACAGACCATGCCCCTCTACAGTGGATGGCAAGGGCAAAAGACAGCAATGCTAGAGTCACCAGATGGTTCCTGGCTCTCCAAGATTTCCACTTTGTGGTCAAACACAGAGCTGGGTCCACCAATGGCAATGCTGATGGACTCTCCAGGATGTTCTCCGGCTGGTCAGGTCGGGTAAGGGTCATTCCCACCCCGCCTTCCCATGTAATAAAAACCTCATCTGCTCACAGGAGACCTACCTGTAGACACTGTTGTCGGTGTTTCTTTGTCTGAATATGGCACTTATCACATGCTGTGTGGTATCGGCGTTTGGTATGGGGGCATTTTAACGAGTACAAGTACGAGTACAGGAGCTCAGTATCGGGCCCGATACCGATACCAGTATGCATTCGGTACCAGTATCGGTATCGGTGCATCCCAATTTAAAAACACAGATTCATGCAAGTACGAAACATGTTTCTCGGAGATGCGCATCAGTTATTCTCCGGCTTTGTTTGGAGCTATTTGTGTTGGTGAAACAAAAAGGGGGGGGGGGGGGGGGGGGGGGTGTGACGAGGTAGCACTTGCTCCCCACTCGTCACCCCTGGCAATGCTAATCATGGAGGACACCTGGCTATCCCAGCTGACAACAATGAGGCAATCATTTAGAGGGAGATATAAGCAAGGAAGATGAGAGGAGAGCTGTATGGACTCTCACTTCTCCGGCTTTGTTTGGAGCTATTTGTGTTGGTGAAACAAAAAGGGGGGGGGGGGGGGGGGGGGGGTGTGACGAGGTAGCACTTGCTCCCCACTCGTCACCCCTGGCAATGCTAATCATGGAGGACACCTGGCGATCCCAGCTGACGACAATGAAGCAATCATTTAGAGGGAGATATAACACCAGCAAGGAAGCTGAGAGGAGAGCGGTATGGACTCTCACTGGGTCCATGGCTAACCTCTGTGTCTTTTCTTTATCCAGAAAGTGATTGACTTCCTCAAATGAGTGTGGATCGTCCATTGAGTTGGATAAACTCCCCTCTCTTCGCTGGGCAAGGAAGAACTGCTCTACTCACCACAGAACACTTCACCTGCACGACACACAGAGACCGAGTTTGATTGCACCTAAATTTGCACTTCTTGAAGGCAATAAAGACACCTACCAGGCTGGCGCATCACTGCATTTGTGTGTCTGTTCTCCTCTTTTCCCATAGTGGAGT